AGAGTTCCTCAGCCAGCTGGCTGAGGAACTCTGGGAGTTGAAGTCCACAAGTCTTAAAGTAGCCAAGGTTGGAGACCCCTGTCATAGATGACTCTAGTCTTATTCCATTGCTTTTACCAGCTGCAGCTGGAAACCAACCATTTATCCATTTGGGTTCAGGACCGGGGCAATCGCCAGAGAGATACACATTAATATGTGTCCCCTTTCCCACTAACACTGGAAATAATTAACTAGCTTCCATTAAAAAAAGAAGAAGTCAGCTCAGTGGAGAAGCTAAATAACCCCATGTCTTACATTATGCACGAACTAGGCCTGCATGTTCTTCATACTAGAGAATCACTTGAAATGAGGAAGAGTACCTGCTGGAAGACACTAGCCCTTCCCAAATCCCACATAGAATGACTTTGAGAATAGAGCAGCAGCTCTGTGCCTTTCTGATGTTTAGGTTGCTATTAGTCCTGAGAAAGGGGAAAATGTCATGCCTGATAGAAGGTGCTGAGCTGCAATTCACTGGAAAAAAAGATTATAACTTCCAAAGACAATGCAATAAGCACATCATCGATCAGAGTGGATTTCCTCCCCTCTAATTACTGAGGAAGCTTACCTAGCAGAGTCTCCTCCAGTTTTTCCCACTACAATAAGTCTAGTTGGCTTAAAGTTATCTATTGAGTTTTCATAGATGAAAGCAGACTTCAACTTGGGTTTCCACACTGTCATACCAATACCTTCATCACTATTGTGCACCACATCAAGATTTATGATATTAAGTCAAATCCAAGAGTGCCTGGTGTTTGATGCAAGTAATGGGATGACAGCAAGCAATGTCTCAGCACTTACCCATGACAGTTGACTTTTAATTAAAAGGGAATGAGACATATCAATGATCAGTTAAATGATCATTTTTAATTTCCATGCGGAGAAGAGAACGTACAGGAAACACCCACACACTCTTATTTCTCTTATTTTCTCTTAATTTCAATTAATTTCAAAAGCCTAAAGCTAAAAGTACATCTTTTCTCCAATTATTTGCGATTGACACTTGGAGAAGTCAAGGCAGAAAACAAATTTCATTTAATGTCTCTTTCTCTATGTCTTGTTTATTTAGCATTGTGGAATTCTAAAATAAAGTTTCTTTTAACAAGTAAAAGAACTCTCTTCCATATTATCAAAAACAGGCTTTGGGAAAAGATAATTTTTCATCTGATAATCTTTAAGGTAAGATGAATTTATATACTGCTCCCACATATCCATATCTAATTGCTATATAAAATTTCAGTGATATAGCTTTCTGATTCTGATAATGGGATGCAGACTGATGGCAAAGCAACATTTGAACTGGGCTCAGAATTTGCAACTGACCCTTGTGACTCAATTGACAAACACTGTGAAATAGTGAAATGACACAGAACAAACATAGATCACCATGCCTGTTCCATACTTACAACAGTTCATTGAATGACCGTTTGAAATTACAATGGCACTGAAAAAAGTGAGCTATGACTATTTTTAATCTTTATGACCATCACATAGCATCCCCATGGTCACAAGATTTAATGCTTGACAACTGGTCCATATTTATGACAGATGCAGTGTCTTGGGATCATGTGATCACTTTTTGTGACCTTCTGACAAGCAAGGTCAATGGGGGAAGCAGATTCATTTAATAACCAGGTTGCTAGTTTAACAACTGTAGTGATTCGCTTAAGAAATGTGGTGAGAAAAGTAATAAAATGGGACAAAACTCACTTAGCAAATTTCTCACTTAGCAATATAAAATCCAGGCTCAATTGTGATAGGAAGTCAAGGACTACCTGTACGGTTCCCATTCTTTACCTTCATAGAATTATGTGGACAGAAAATGCAAGCAACATGCTGCAGATGTGATAGCTAGAAACTTTTAAAAATAGTTCTAAGCTATCATGCCTTTTTTGTTTTGTTCATTTAGGTTATACCACATGCTTTGATTTTACATGTTGTGCTGTATAAATACAGGGTTACTGTGTTTCAAATTAAAGCAGTATTTATGCATGGATTTGTCTGCTCATGATGCCAATCAAACTGTACCATACTGAAAGGTACATCTTCAAATATTTGTAGCTGAGACAATGCTGAACAGAAAGCAGAAACAATTATCCTAATTCTTGAATGCTAGAATTTAGGAACCTAGTTACTAATTATATTCTGAATTGATGTGAAGTCATCTTATAATATGACTTTATATTCACCAGGTAATAATAATTTAACATTTAATACACAAGCCAAAAGCATTAGCAGATTTATTGCGGAAAGTGAGTGGTATAAATTTCATTATTAACTTTTATTTTTCTACTTCATAATGCAAATGAGCCCAGCATATTTTTAAAACAAATGCAATTTTCAAAACAGGGTTGCAGAATGCTAAACAGCATACACTTAAGTTGAATGGGATCAATACAGAAGAATATATGACTGCATTTTAACGCTTTATGTACAACTGCTATGGATTTTTTAAAATATTCTTTTTCTCCACATAGTTTCTTAAAAATTCATATAGATGTATTTGATAGTGGATGACATTAAAGCCTTTCTACACTTGTGATTTGCTGTGGCTCCAGAAAGTTTCCTCTCCTCCAATTTGTACATCATCTACATGAAAAAACTCCCTAGTTAAGGGTCATACCTACTCTCTAAATGTGAGGAACAACAGGAGTCCTTGACTTACAACAGTTCATTTAGTGACCATTTAAAGCTACAATATCATTGAGAAAAGTGACTTATGACTGTTTTTCACATTTATAACTGTTGCAACATCACTTTGGTCACATGATCAAAATTCAAACACTTAGCAATTGACACATATTTATGACATTTGTTTGATCACTTTTTGTGACCTTCTGACAAGCAAAGTCAATGGAGAAGCCAGCTTCACTTAATCACCAGGTAACTAATTTAACAACTGCAGTGATTCACTTCATAACTGTGGGAAGAAAGGTCATAAAATGGGGTGAATACACTTAACAAATGTTTCACTTAACAACAGAAATTTTAGACTCACTTGTGGTTAAAAGATGAGGACTAACTGTACTAATAAAGCCTTCATTTGCTTGTCTCCTGGGAAATACTTTTCCTAAAAGGTGTCCTCAGTGAGGTCCAATCCCAGCATTTGAAATGTCTTCCATTTCATTTTCATCCTTTGTGCAGCTAATTCAGCATGTCACTATATTTATGTATTTTATTTATTTATTAATTTTTTATTTATTTTGATTTGTCAATTGCTTACAAGATAATAGGTATAAATATATACATAGTTATGATTACATGAAATGGGTACATATAAGATTTCTTCAACTCTTTTGGAAGGGCTCTAAAACAATGTTATTCTACTACAGCTTGCACTGCTTTCGAAGATTACCTCTAAAATATGAGCTGAATTCCAAGAGCTTGCACTATCTTCTCTCTCCATCCTATTTGCTTTGGTAGCACAGAATTCATATAATAGTAAAAATATATTATAGAAATTATTAGAGCCATATAATTTAAATAACATTTTTAGAAATGTTCACTATTATGTTGAGTTACGAAGTATTATATTAAACAGTTTCATCTACAATTGATTTGGTGAATTGAATTGATGATATCAGGATATCATGTTTTGAAGGATATAGAGTCCAATTAACTTCTTCTGACACAAAGATTTGATTGGTAAAATTTTGCTTCTTGAAAAGATTTTGCTGAGAATTATATTTAACTGAAACCTTGTGCAAAGATCAATGGACATCAGCTGACAGTTTATCTCTCAAAAATTTATGACTGTGGCCAATTCTTAATTTAGAATAATTATAAAGCAAACATTCACTGAGATATTGATTTATTGAATTTTGCACAATGAGTTTTGTTCTGTTTAATTCCTCTAACTTCACTGCAGTTTCCTTTAGAGAGGTGAAATTGTAAACACAACATTGTATTTATACTGCTTGGATACGTGTTACTTTCCCTCATGGCTTTCAATTCACAGTCATGAATTTTCAATGTTTGGAATGAGATTAATCTTTAAACTGCAGTCACGGGAAACTCTTTACATACGAAATTGGTGGTAACTTATACAAACTGCATGTATATTGATACTGAAACTGCACATTTTATTGTTGTTCAAAGTTCCTTGTATTTGCCAGTCAGTTCATTCATATTTGAAGTGTGATAGGGTCTGTTGCATAATATATCATTATATTTATGCTATCAATACCGTGAGTAGCAATCACCAGCAAGTTTGAAATTATACATTAGTTAGCTTAGAGACCCACTCAAAATCAAGATGCTTTCAGCCGTCAAGAAAAAAAAACCCAGTGGAAAGTTAGCTATAAGCTATTTTTAAGTATGTGGGACTCAGGTAACTTATTCTATGTGAAATTCAAAACTGAAAAAGAAAACTTGAAGAAAGTTTATACAGGTCTGAAATCCTATATGTTTGTGTGACATTTGTCTCTAGAAACCCAAGCCATTAGTTAAACTTCCACTGGTTTTTCAGTATTTGGTAACAATACTATTTTGAACAAAGAAAATTTTTAAAAAATCATGTCAAAACTGCATGATTTGTGATCTATATGCTTATTGGACTTCACTACACTATAAATATCTCAACAGGACTCATCTTAAACAACAAAAAGAGGTTATACACATTTGTAAGGTACACCAAAGGCAAAAATATAAAAATGTTGACTTCATTTCATTTTTGCAATAAATCTATTTATTTGTTTAAAGAACAGTAATGCTTATCCTGGGAAGCATACTGTTCTTTTTTTCTCTAGCTCTAGAAGTCTCTTCTGAGTCTTGTCAGAATGTATTTTTTCATTATCCCTCAGATGTAACCTTCATGAAATTTTGTACGCAAACCTGCTTTTGAACAGCCAAGAAAGAAGTGTTACTTTGGTTTTAACTACTTTTTTCAATAGTCAATTTTTAGTAATCACAATATCGTGAAGCCATGTTGTATCCCCTTTTTGATTCAGATGTATGTCAAAGAAGTCCATATTCTTCCATGTGTGAGGACAGTTCATAAAGGAAGAAAAAAAATCTATTTTGCTACCCCCATGTCTTTATTTCACTTTTCAATGTATTTTTTCACCTGTTCCTTTTTTTAAAGCCAAGTAACCAATTTATTCTCCAGTGATCTCCACAGTCAGCAGGAGAGCATCCACTGAGAGCCATAAAATACTGCATATCTACAGACAAGTGGGGAAGATAGAGCAATGCCACATCATTTCTGATTCTTTCGCACACAAAAATGAAAGCCAATAATTTTACAATTGTTAACCAGTGAACTTTATAGAAATTAATTGTATGAAAAAAATAAAAAAAATGTATCTTCATATTTACATGCTGAAGGGTGACATTTCAGTGAGCAAGACAGGGCAGTTGCCTAAATGGCCAGTTACATTATTCTATCATCAGACTAATAGCAGAGCAACTACTTTAGTTCCATGCAGAAGAAACAAATTTGTGTATCCTCAAAGAGCAAGAAAGTTAGTATGGTCTTAAAATAGACTGAATGGCTAAGCACAGTCAGATCTATTTAGCATGTGATAATATATAATCAGGAAATAGAAAAGCTGTAGAAAAACTGGGAAAAAAATCCTAGAAGAAGGCAGCGGCCATGGATACCATTTCCATATAGTTACAAAGAAAACATTATTATCATCAATTCCTAAGGCATCAGGAATTGAGTGTGACTTAGACGTATTACTGTGTTAATGAAGAAGATTCCAATCCACAGAAGTGCCAGAATAAATTTGTTATTCTTTAAGATGACCCAGCCATTCTATCTTAAATGTTTAATTAGAAAGAAAAAGGTGAAAATTAGGAACCTTTTATTTGGCAATTAAATAATTTAAAATGCACTTTAATAATCACAGATGACTTTATGCAAAGATTTTCAAAAAATGATTAAAGAAGGAAAAAGTGGTTTGAGAACTTCAACTTATTAAAGGAAAGAAGCCCAATCAATTTTAATAACTCCTACTTCTAACTATGTTCTTAGATGACAGGTGTATAACACAGAAAAAGTCAGAATTTAATTTAATAAGTAAATAATAAAAAATGTAATCTAAGTGACAACATATGCCAGTGGTAAGTGAAACACAAGGAAGTTAAGATGCTTAGCACAGTAATATCAGAAATATTAACAATTTCAATGTTTGTTTAACAAAATAAATACATATGTTCTGATTGTAAACTTTACTTAATATGGAGCTTCTATTTGCAATATCCCCTAATAAATATAATTTAAACACATGCTTATATAAGTAATAAAGCATTTCAAAATATACATTTAACACAGGTTTCCCCTAATATATTGGAAAGATATTGTTTGGTGTATTTTCCTGCATACATATTCTAATTTAATTATTGAGATATAATCTTTTTAAAAAATTATCTAAATGGAGAATTTTTTAAATGCAAATAACTATACTTTATACTTTTTAATGCAAATTTCAAGTATATACTATTTTACACAATCTTTTGTAAACAAATCATGCTATGTGTGCATTTTTTGACTGGAGAAGGATCAATAGCATTACATCTATTCAATGCCATGTCACAATGGATTCCATTTTATTTAAGCTTTTATACCTGTTCTCATGGAAATCCCATGTTGGATTTATTTTAAATATGAATTGTACATATCCTTGCAGGAGTTTCTGTTGTCATGTCATCATTGTATGATGTGTGCAACCAGAAATATATGAATATGCAACCATATTGTTACTCTTAAATCATAAGTGCTTGCATTTTGAAAATAAAATTAATATCATAGGTCTTATGATTTAAAATATGACTATTACCTTACTTTGAATTAACAGGTTAAAGGTGATAGTGAAACTTCTACTAGTTTACAATACATTTTAAAGAAGACAGAAAATAAATATTTAAAGAAAAATTCATTGTTTTATCAGGAAACAGCAGTTGCTTCTTCATTAAAATTCTTCAGAAATTATTGCATTGATTCTGATTTTCAAATAAATGAGGAAATTTTAAGAAATGATATAAATTTTAACTGTTTTCCTATATTAGTGTCACATTTCTGATTTTGACTGGATTAATTGGATAAACATTAGTGCTTGAAGGAAGTTCTCCTGCTTGAAATTCATTGTTCAACACCTAGTAGATAAAATAGAATACATTAGCTTAACAAGATATTACTAAATATTATCTATTCATTGTAAGTGACACAGTTTTAAAAATCAGAAGCTTGATCCAGTAAATTTATAAAAACCTTACCTATTTACTTAATAGTTTGGGCCAGAGATGGTATTCAGCAGGTTCAGACCAGTTCTGGAGAACCAGTAGCAGAAATTTTGAGTCGTTCGGAGAACCGGCAAATACCACCTCTGATTGGAGATTTTACAGTATCCTTCCCCTGCCACGCCCACCAAGCCATGCCCACAGAACTGGTAGTAAAAAATTTTTGAATCCCACCACTCGTTTGGGCCATACAATACTTGAAATTGGCTTGAATTTTGAACCCATCTATTTTTTCTTAATATTATATATGAACCAGGCCAATAAATCTAACAAATTCATAAGTGCACCAATGCGCCTACCATCCCTGTCCTATTCTTTCTTTTATATATTTTTTATTTTTCTTATATATATCCATGTATTCATAACTATGTTTTTACTTATACCTATTATCTTGTACGCAATTGACAAATAAAAATAAAATAAAAATAAAATAAATAAATTAACCCCAGAATCTAGATACTCATGATTGATTATATCCTTGTTTACTGGAAACTAACTTTATGACTGACTTAGCCATGACTAATTGTACCTTGATCAGAGTCCAATAAATTAAGTGATCAATTGTCTTTCTTTCAGAAATATGACTCCTGAAAGATGATAATAGACTTTTCCTTCTTCAGTTGATTCGCTTGCCACATAAAGCAACTGTTCTATATTCATGAGTTGACATTTAAACAGGATCTCTTGCCAAATAATTTTTAAAAGTAGTACTATATGTTCTATAAGAAGGGGATCATGTCAGAGAGAAGTGGACTCATTTGCATGCAGAATTGTGGGTTCCTATGTTATTGCTACCACAAAAAGTATTAAATAAAATGCCAATGGAAATAAATATCAGTCCTTGGAAAATGACCAAAAATCACAGTGGAAAATTTAGTAAGAACTGTACTTTCTCTCATCCTATCTTAAAGCTGTTTTTGTATTACTCTAATTTCTTCATATACATTATATTAATCAGCTGATAGTGGATCATGTTCTGTATTAACATTCTTGTAGACTCGCATTCTGATTGGTCCACCCGGACCGCAACCCGATTGGTCCACGGAATGACTGTGATTGGAGCGCTAAGAATCTACCGCGATTGGCCGAGCCGATCGCGGGAGATTCAAAGCGCTGCCATTGGCCGCCGAGCCGCCGGCCGGCTGTATAAAGCCAAGCGGTTCGCACATTTTAACTGTCCTTGTTCAGAAGCTACAATAAAGAGCTGATTGTTCACTTTCGCATCTCGCCTCTTATGTGACCCGATCCACCGATCTAACACTGGCGACGAAGGTGGGATCATGAGGCGAGGACCAACTAGCATGTGGCAAACAGTGATCAGCGCCCTGCAAGATGGCCAGCACCCTGCCGCCCGCTCCGTTCGACCCAGCAACCGAAGACTGGGAGTCATACATCGACCGCTTCCAGATGTTCCTGGAGTGCAGCAACCTCAAGGACGCCAATGGCCAGAGGAAACGGGCAGTATTCCTAACACACTGTGGGCCCACGGTGTTCAAAATGGCCAAGGCGCTGGCGAAGCCCACCGACATCAAGGAGATGGACTGGACTGACCTCGAGCCCATCTTGCGCCGCCATTATGCTCCTACCGTGCCCATCCTCATTCGCAGGCACGACTTCTACCGCCGAGATCAGCGCGAAGGCGAGACCATCGGCGACTTCGTGGCCCGGCTGCGGAGCCTGGGAGGCCCCTGCGAATTCCCCGACACTTTGGGACCGAGTCGTCCTCGGACTCCGAGACCCCGTGCTGCAGAGCCGGCTGATGGCCAAAGGCAACATCTCCCTCGCCGACGCCCTCGCCGAGGCTACCGCCGCCGAGGCCACCCACCAGTCAGCAGCCCGGATGAGGCAAGCCAACACGACTGAACGGCCACCGACCAACAAAGCAACCCCAGCCACCACGAAGCCCAGGGAAACTAGCCGTCGAGAAACGACCACGCATCATGGCGACTTCGAACCCCAACCCGACACCGAGGACGAAGACGAGTAAATCCATCGGCTGCAGACCGAGCGCAACCGCCGGGACCGCAGGGGACGTAAGTCGGGTTTCCATTGCGCCGGCTGCGGCGGCGATCACCCCCGCTCCGAATGCCATTTTCTCGACGCCATTTGCAGGCACTGCGAGAAGCGGGGGCACATCGCCAAGGTGTGCCGGAACAAAAAGAGCTACAGCCCGCAGTGACGAGGAAACAGCCCACGACGACAAGACAGCACCCCCCCCAGGCACCGAGACCGACCGACTGAGAGCCGGTGGAGCCGCGATAGCCGCAGCAGATGACTCAGCGAAGCACAGCGGCGCGAGGAAACCCACCAGATGGTCGTCATCGGCCATTTATCAACCATGGATGCCCGAAAGGTACACGTGGCCCTGTGCATCGAGGACCAGCCCTGCGAGATGGAAGTGGACTCCGGGTCCTACCTCTCAATGGTTTCTTGGCGCACAATCAAGTGCCTAGTCCCGACCATCCGCCGCAACGAACTAGATGACCAGAAGCTAATCCTGAAAGACTATCAGGAAAACCGCATCCCTGTGTCCGGCATCGGGCACTTTAAGGTCACATTCAAGAACCACACCGACATCTTGCCACTCACAATCGTGGACCAGGACCGCCCCAGCTTGCTCGGCCTGCAATGGTTCGCCCCGCTGGGCATCGAGGTGACGGGCATCCATCACACAGACGAGGCCGACTGGGAAGCGACTCTCGTAAAAGAATTCCAGGAGGTCTTCGACAACTCGCTAGGCAAGTACCGAGGGCCCCCTATATCTTTCAACCTTAACCCTAACATCGCCCCAATCCGCCTCAAACCCCGGCGAGTGCCTTTTGCGCTCAAGCCGAAAATCGACGAGCAACTAGACAAGCTCGTCGCGCAAGGGGTACTAGAGCCCATCGACCATGCCCGTTGGGAAACGCCCATAGTCACCCCCATCAAACCCGATGGCTCCATAAGAATTTGCGGGGACTACAAGGCCACCCTCAATCACGCGCTGCAGCAAAGCGCCTACCCCGTCCCAGTAGTACAGCACCTTCTGCACTCACTGGGGGGAGGCCGGGTCTTCGCAAAACTCGACTTGGCACAAGCGTATCAGCCATTGCCGGTCGATGTGGAGACAGCCGAAGCGCAAACGATTGTTACACACGGGGGGCTTTTCAGTGCAACCGACTCCAATTTGGAGTCAGCGTCGCCCCAGGAGTCTTCCAAAGTCTCATGGAAAGGCTCCTCCAGGGAATAAAAGGGGTGGTTCCCTACTTCGATGACGTGCTGATCGCAGCCACTAACAGAGAACAATTGGAAACCCGTTTAAGGGCGGTGCTTAACAAATTCAAAGACGCCGGCCTTAAAGTCAAAAGAAACAAATGCCAACTCCACACCGAGAGGGTCGAGTTCCTGGGGTACCTCCTGGATCGGCATGGAATACACCCAACCGGGAAGAAACTCAGAGCCATCAAGGAAGCCCCCACACCAACAAACAAGGCGGAACTACAGGCATTTTTGGGACTGCTTAATTTTTACAATGTTTTCCTACCCCAAAAGGCGACCGTGGCGGAACCCCTACACCGGCTACTCGATAAAGCGGCCATCTGGACCTGGGGGAAGCGGAAGGAGACTGCGTTCCAACGAACAAAAAACCTGCTGACATCGGATGCAGTCCTGATCCAGTATAGCGAGACCCTTCCACTCACGGTAACTTGCGACGCATCACCTTTCGGCATCAGAGCAGTCCTCAGCCACACCCTACCCGACGGGAAGGAAGCACCCATCGCCTTCTTCTCCCGAACGCTGGCCAAGCCGGAAAGAAATTACAGTCAACTGGACAAAGAAGCCCTCGCCATCGTCGCCGGAGTGAAAAGGTTCCACGAGTACCTTTACGGTAGGAACTTTTCGATCATAACGGACCACAAGCCCCTGCTCGGGATACTCGCAGGGAACAAGGCCACCCCGAACATCCTGTCACCTCGGATGACGCGGTGGTCCGAGTTCCTTGCCGCATACTCATACGAACTGTCACACCGGCCCGGCAAGAACATTCCGCACGCTGACGCACTAAGCCGGTCACCACTACCCAACCTAGACGACGACCCAGCGCCCACAACGACGACCCTGCAAATCGAGACCCTACCCAGCCCACTCTTAACCGCGCCAGACATTGCCCATGAAACAAATAAAGACAAACGGCTGGCGCGGGTATTGAGCTGGGTAGAATGGGGGTGGCCAGAAAATGACGGCGGCGAGCAGTTCAAAGCCTTCCGAAACCGCCAAACTGAGCTGTTCTCACAAAGGGGGTGCATACTCTGGGGCGACCGGGTAGTCATACCGGAAGCACTACAAAACAGAGTGTTGGCAATGCTGCACGAGGGACACCCGGGGGTCGTCAAGATGAAAGCCCTGGCCAGAAGCTACGCTTGGTGGCCAGGGATGGACAAACAAATCGAGACATGGGTCGCCGGCTGCAGCAGGTGCCAAGAGTCGAGAGCCAACCCCCCCGCCGCCCCGGTCCTGGAATGGGAAACCCCGAGAGGACCATGGTCGCGAATACACATAGACTTCGCCAGGCCAACCAAGGGGCATACATTCCTCATCACCATAGATGCTTACTCCAACTGGCTGGAGGTAAGCACTATGAGGGCAACAACAACAGAAGCGGTCATCGACAAGCTCAACAGACTCTTTGCAACGCATGGGCTACCGGATGTCATAGTGTCGGACAACGGGCCACAGTTCACGGCACTGGCATTTGAAAAATACCTGGCCGAACGAGGCATCCGACACGCCTTATCCTCGACGGCTCACCCGGCGGTGAACGGTAGGGTGGAACGGATGGTCCAATACACAAAAAAAGCCATCCAAAAAATCAAAACCGGCGACATCCAGGAAAAAATAAACAAACTACTCTTCATACAGCACATCACGCCGAGCACGACCACGAACAAGAGCCCAGCGGAGTTACTGATGGGAAGGAAACTGAGGTCTCCACTGGACTGCCTACACCCCACCTACAACCCAGAGAAACCCCCGGACTCCTCCAGCCGGTACCGGGCATTCAACATCGGGGATACGGTCTACGCAAAGAACTTCACGGGAGACCCCCTCTGGGTACCTGCACAAATAACACAGGTAACCCGGCCCCGATCATACAGACTCCAAATGACAGACGGAAGGAGCTGGAAGCGGCACATCGACCAGCTACGGTCCAGACTAGCCGCCAACACCCCCGACGCCTCGGCAACAACAACCAAGGAAAGCAGAGAGGGAGGGGAAGCCTCAACAACCAAGCCAGTAAACGACAAAAAGCCGGAATCATCAACGGCACACCCCCCAACGCAAGCCAAACACCCCCCACCAGAAGACAGAAACGTTCAAATAAACCAGCCATACTCACCAGCAGACCTCGAACTGTCGCAGACGGGATCTTCACCTGGAAGGGACAGCCAAGCCAGCTCAACCAGCCCGGAAAGACCGAGCGAGAGCAACAGGAACCGCAACCCGACCAACCCAGGTAGTCCAGGCGGGAGCTGCGGCGACAGGCCCGGCTCACCCTTCCAGGCGGTTCCATCAACGAAGTTGAGAGCGACACGGAGCCCGGCCGAACCGGCCAACGATCACACACAGACTGAACCGCGCAAGTCAGCTAGACAGATTCGGAGCCCCACCTACCTGCGCGACTACGTCACAACGCTGCGTCAGACGAAACCATGAAGGGAGGGGTGTTCTGTATTAACATTCTTGTAGACTCGCATTCTGATTGGTCCACCCGGACCGCAACCCGATTGGTGCACTGAATGACTGTGATTGGAGCGCTAAGAATCTACCGCGATTGGCCGAGCCGATCGCGGGAGATTCAAAGCGCTGCCATTGGCCGCCGAGCCGCCGGCCGGCTGTATAAAGCCAAGCGGTTCGCACACTTTAACTGTCCTTGTTCAGAAGCTACAATAAAGAGCTGATTGTTCACTTTCGCATCTCGCCTCTTATGTGACCCGATCCACCGATCTAACAGATCACTATATTGTGGTGCCACATTTTTATTTAATACATTTCATTCCATCTGTATATGAAATAAAATGCTTCCTAAATGGATTCACAGTTTGGTGATCTGACAATATTATTACACAGCCCATCATAATTGTCTTTTTGTATGCTTTGTTGTAATACTTGATAGAGATATGATTTATTAACTAAAACACATGTGCCCTCTATCCTTGACTTCTTTTCATCATCACAGAGCAAAGGTTAGGAGGCCAGACACTTGGGACAATTTAGGTGGTTGGTAGGCTAGCAGGAAGATCAACAGGAAGAGAAGGAAAAGCATTTTCTTTAGCTGCAAAAAGACAGTGTGGCACTTATGCAGCCCAGGAACGAAATGGGCCAATTCGCCACAGCCAACTAACCATGGCCAGCTACTCTGGGACAACTTGCCAGGGCCAACTCACCATGGGAAAACTTGCTACAGGACAACTTAGCAATTCAATTTAATTATTTAAAATAAATAAAAAATATTTTAATTTTTGTCATTCACATTTCATTCTGTCCCTCCTTTTGTATCCTTTCTTTAATGATTCAATTCTATCAGGGTTTTTTTTTTTTAGTGTAACTCTTACTCCACAGCAAGTTGTCCCACACAGAGTTGGCCATAGCAAGTTGTCCCGTGGCAAGTTGGCCTTGGCAAGCTGGTTGTGACAAGCTGGCTGTGGTAGAGTTGGCCATGGTGAGTGGGCCATGGTGAGTTGGTTGTGGCAAATTGTCATAGACCCCCAGGGATTGGATATGAGTAAACTGAGATTGTAGGAAATATCTTGAGAGATTATAGGTCTCTTTACATGCAGGTGTCTAATTTTTAAAGTAAGTACCGGTAGTTATGAAATGCCAATTTATACTTTTACTTGCAAGTCTCTGAATATTAGCCAAGAAAAAGAAGTCATCTTTATAAACTATGTTACAATCTCAAAAAGATTATTCCACTTACCTCTGATAAAGAACTCACATTCAGATCTTGCTTTGTATCATAAACATTTTTTGTAACTGGGAAGGAAGTGTGATCTCCTGCAAAACAAAAGAGGACATATACAATAATAATGGTAGTGAATTAAAATGATAGTCTCCTAAAATGGGAGGAACTATACAGGTAGTCCTTGACTTTCAACAGTTCATTTAGTGACTATTCAAAACAACAGCACTGAAAAAAGTGACATGACCATTTTTTACACTTACAAGCATTGCAATATTCCCATGGTCATGTGAACAAAATTCGGACAGTTGACAATTGTCTCATATTTTTGAAATCACGATGTCCTGGGATCATGCTATCACCTTTTACAACCTTTAACAAGCAAAATTAATGGGGAAGCCAGAGTCACTTAATAACTTTTGTTACTAACTTAATGACTGCAGTGATTCACTTAACAACTGTGGCCAGAAAGGTCTAAAATCTTAACAAATGTGTCACTTAACAACAGAAATTTTGGGCTCAATTGTGATCATAAGTCAAGAACTATTTGTACCTTGTTTCAGAAAGAAAAATAATTGAGAATTTCCTGAAAACAAGCAGGAACAAAATAATCTGTACATATGTTCTGTTGATATTTTCTTAAAACACTAGTAAGAAACTGAAAAAAAGGGTTCAAGTAACTCATAAATGTTAATATCACAATGCTTTCTGTGAATCAATAAAGTGGATTCATTTTGTATTTTATTAGGGGAGAAAAGATCAAAAGGTGGTAACATATCTGGAAGCCATCTTATTTGTTTTCTGTGCAAAGACAAGTAGGTGTGAAAGAATCACTATTTCTAAGAAACTTAGAAACTGGGAAAAAAGGAGTTTAGCTTAAGGAAAGCATCTTTTTCAATTACTCTTTTCTTTCATCTCTATCAAATGGGAAGATATGACAAGAAGCCTTTCATAGAACCTGAAACTAAACAAGAATAAGACAGAAGTCCAAATTTAGACATAAATTACAACAGAAAATAACTCAGGATTCATACACTAAATTTGAACTGTAGCTTCAAATGACCAATTTGGTGTTTCCAAACCAATGATTTTTCCTCAAATTGTTCAGAACAAATCTTGATTTAGTGTTATATGATTTCAGAAAAAATTGTGCAATCTAGCAATAGAAATTACTCAGCTTGCATCCACTTCTATCACATATAGAGCAAAATGTATAAAATAAAACCTATATAAGTATTTCTACAGGTGCTTTGATCAAACAACCCATCATCGATTCCATTCCTTTTTCAAGATACCAGGATGTGCTAGGAGTTTAGCAATACCAGGATGTGCTAGGAGTTTAGCAATCCAGATTATATTCTAAAAGGGGAAGCAACTGCAAATTTGAAGCTTGCTTCTGTGCTTCTCTCTGCATAAGCCTTGGATCCTGGGCCTATATCTAATTGATATACATTTTCAATTAGTTTCCTTTGTAACGATTTGTCTGGAAATATTCTTTTAAATAGAACATTAAGTTTTAATTTGTATATTCCATGTTTTTAAATGAAATTTCTTCAGGAAGTAATTCAGACAGCTCACCATTTTAAATATATTGTAAAAAAAACCCAAGATCCTTCAAGATTTTTCATTTTGTTTTAACTTGTCAGCTTAAAAGTTTTCACTGTTCTAGGATTGATATATCTGCATTTTAAAAAACCCATGCTGACTAAATAATAGGACAGCTGCACAATTGAAGCTTCAGGTCTTTTTGAACTGTATATATGATGTATGTACAATGCACATTAAAGAGATGTGGCTTCAATTAACTTCATGCCTGCAATCTTGACACTATTTTCATGAGATACACATACAAATACACAGACATACTTGGATGCCCAGATAGCAGCAAAGCAAGCGGCTATCTGGATTTTTTCAACCCAGGTTTATTAACCTATATGAAGTTATTTTTTTTTCTATTTGGCTTCCAAAGCAGGGTAAAATGGACTAGATACGGTATCTCTTTGCTACCATCTGACAATTGCCAGAATTTTTTCAGGCCAGAAATGGTAGCCCAATACTTTTTTAAGGAAAGCTAATATTTGCCTACTTTCTGGCCACCAAAGTACAACAGGGCTGAATTTAAAATGCATATATGAAGTTCTATATAGAACATTATTTTTTTCATTTAAAGGTTACTTACGTGGCATTTGCTCTGCACTGTAGCCATAGTTTTCCTTTCCACTGTGACTCACAGTTTCCAAATTTCTAGCTTTCTCTTTCTTCCCTGAAATCTTTCTAGAAAATAAAAATACCTGACATTGGCAACCAAATCATTTATAATATATGTATGAATAGAAGATACTGTCCTCAGCCTGTGCTTATCAAACAAGGTTAATATTGTGGAACAGCAAGGTTGGTTCTCCTTCTCTCCCTCCCCCCCACATCCCCGGCCCAATTTCTGGAATATTCAGCTAAAGCCCTTAGACTTAAGCAATTGCTCTAATTTGGAAGAGAACACTTCAGGTGTAGTGATTCTCTGTTCTTGTGATTGAGGTTTGTACAAAACAAATATTGGTCAATACCAGATTGCCAGTCCTATCTAGCTTTGTTAAATAAAAGGTAGCAAAACATTTTCCTTTCTGGAAAAAACTAGTTTTATTGAAACCTAAGGAAACAACCAATGAATCTGCTAGAATAGGAAGTGTATTTCTTTGTCAGGATATGTATTTGGAAGAAGTTGGCAGAGGTTTAAGGAAAGGCTTAGCTGAATATGAGTTATATAACATTAGGGAAAACCATTGTGTTCCTTCCTCTAGAAATCCGGAATTCACTTTGAAACATTGGTTGGAGTTACTGTTGTGAATTTCCACCTAGTTTTAATTGGATAACTTTAGGGAGGTTAGTGTGTCCCTCCCTTTAGAAATCTGATGGGGAATCAATCCATATTGACACATTAGTTGGAGTTGTTACTGTGAACTTTCACCTAAAGTCCAATGTTCATATCTGTAAAAAGCAAATGTTACAAAACAGAATATGTTGGAATCTGCCATCTGAAAAACTGTGATGTATATTATAACATTTGTATTTTGCCAGAATTATGAATAAGGCATTTAAACAGCATCCAAATCTAAGCCTACAATCAATAAACTGCTGGCTATTTTTGCTATAGCAGAAAAGTCTTTAGAAAACTAGATCTCGCCCAACAGTACCAGCATTTAGCAGTTTATGATGCTAGAGTAGATATCCAGACTGCCATTACCCATCGTGGGGTATTTTGAATGGAGAATCTCTAAGTAGGATTCTCTTTAACCCCTGTAATATTCCAATGCTCCATAAAGGTTCTACCTTCTGGAATCTCAGGTATTCTGTCACACTTTGATGTTGCTTGATTATTGGATCAACAATGAAGAAAGTTTAGTTGGTACTAAACTTCAGGAGGTTCTGCACCATTTTGACAATTCTGGAATTAATACCAACCAAATGACATTTTTTAGAGTGAGTTGTCTAAAGAGTCATCCTTTTCAAATGCAGTCAGCTAAATTTACTGAAGAATTTAGAGCCAATTGGAGATGACTCTGATTGTTCTTTGTGACTTTGAATGCCTATCAGTTCAACCTAAAAACCATTTCATGGAAGGGTTTTCCTTAACCAGATGGATTAAGAGAGGAGGGATGGTAAGTATGCTTGGTGCAGGTTAGGCTTACTGCAACTGATCTAGTTCTGAAAAAGCTTTACATGGAGTTTTTTTTTAAAAAATTGATTTTTAAAACAAACATGAACAAACAAAACATAAAAACATCAAGCCATCTTCCATATATATATATATATATATACATACAGTGTGCCAGTTGGTTTACAAATTGCTTTGTGCTTCCATTTTGTAGTCTTCAATTACAATTACATTGTATATACTCTCATACTTTTATCAAATATTAAATACATTAATATCATTATTAATCAATCATTTGGCTATACTTTTATTCATTCATGTTTTACGAAATAATCATATTTTACTTAATTTGTTTTATAACAGTTCATATTATCATCCCAAATCTATCCTAAAATCATTTGATATAATAAGAAAAGAATACATCTTTATATATTTATTATTTTCTAAGAATCTACATATTTCATTACTATGTTTTATTGTCTAACCATTGATAGAATATATCCCAAATTTTATAAAATTGTTTATCATCTTGTTCTCTAATTTCAAATGTCAATCTACTCATTTCAGCACATTCAGCTTTACATGGAGTTTTATCAGCAACCTTAACAATTTATATACGAAGTATAGTTGGGCTGGAGTCTCTATGTGTTACTTAAATTCTTCTATTACAATAATCCATAAAAATACAAGTTGATTTGGTTTTGCTCTTTCTTAGCTTTTTAAAAATTTGTATTTTCAAATGTTTATCTCAGTAAAAAAATGAAAAAGAAGGAAACCATAATTCTGGGATAAGCTTTCTTCCTTCCTTTGAGGAAAAAAATAAAGGTTCTACTGCACATGCCTTAAAAACTGAAGCTGTTGGAAATCTTCTACAAAGATGTGTTAACCATCCAGATTCTTAATTGTGGTGTCTTAATTAATAACAACGAACATTTCTTTCATTTTTAAAGTTGAAAACCCCAGAGCATTCTAACATATCATTTAGCTTTCATCTCTGCAAGTGATTAAAACTCATTTTGCTAATTTGGAAACAATTTGTTATCAAGCATTGCCTTTCAAGAGATTGTTTTCAAAGTTCTTAGAAAAGCACAGGATGTAACCTAATTTGCTTGGCAGTTGTGTTTAGTGCACCACTTCCACCTGTCTCAGTTTCAGATCTTTCTGTAACAGACATTCTATACTAAAAGCCCATGGAATAGAAGCGTCAGTGCAGTGAGCTACTTTGGTACACAGTGACCTCTTGTGGTATATGTATTGATTATTAAACATGACGGCTTTAAAAAGAAAGGCTGGCTACAAAACAGATGTTTTCTGAAGCCCTGCATTAAAATTTCCATTTAGAGCATTTCTGAAAATTATATTCTTTTTCACCATTTTTGAAAAATGCAAAACCTTGCCTTAACTGTGATTGTGTAAGAAAACATAGCTATCATCAAATGCTTTATAATCAGCCAAATAAGGAGTGGTTATTCTTCTGTGATCATAAATTGTATTTACATTTTGGGTTGGGGATGAGAACCACAAGATGCATGCCATTTTATGAATTGTTCTATTAAACAAGCTGCTTGCTTCGTGAGGTCCCTGAAGCCATTTAATAAGGTCTCATCATCTGCTTTAAGATTGGAAACATGTAGAAACTGTAAAATCAGACACCCCCTCCACAAAATAATAAAGTAAAACACTATGTTTTGGAGATTTGGGGATGAAAGAAATTATTGTTGTGCAAGAAAGAATCTGTATTTAGTTCAATCAGGGAAGATGAGAGAGGTATGCAGTAATATTGGTCTTTAGCATGGGCTGAAATTATCCAAAACCATATAAAACTCCTGTTTTAAATTTATTTTATATCTGTTGCTGATTTAAACATGGTACCTAGATCAAAGATTAGCCATTTTTTTCTCTATGTACCATTCTTTACATTTTCTCTTTTTTTCCCTTTTGTTTCTCAACCACTTTGCCTATGATCAACTTTTAAGAATTCAAAAACTTGCTCAGTACTGAATAACTTTTAATTAGATTAATAATACTGCTCTAACATGGCTTATGGCATCTGTCTTCTAGGCAATATGATTTTCAATGGCCACTGAAGCATGCAAGTTTATATCATGGCAAAAATTGTGTTCAGGATAAAAGGCAAAATTTAAAATTGGAACAAGGACAATTGTCTCAGTTTAGTTGGCAACTAGATGAAGGCAACATTATGAGACCAAAGCATGAAAACAATTGCTGGGGCACTAATTTACTTGGACTTCAGTAAGGCATTTGATAAAATAAACCAAAAACTACTACTAGATAAAGGAGAAAAATGTGGGTTACAGCATCACCACCAGATGGATTCGTAACTGGCTGACCAACTGCACTCAAGGTGTAGTCCTCAATGGAACTGCATCAACATGGAGGGAAGTATGAGTTCCCTAAAGCTCTATTTTAGGCCCAGTACTCTTCAACATCTTCATCAATGACTTGGACAAGGGGATAGATGGGGAACTCATCAAATTTGCAGACAACACCAAGCTGGCAGGAATAGCCAACACTCCAGAAGATAGGCTTAAGATACAGAAGGATCTTGACAGACTTGAACATTGGGTACTATCTAACAAAATGAAATTCAATAGTGAAAAAAGTAAGGTTCTACATTTAGGCAAGAAAAATCAAATGCACAGGTACAGTATATGTGGTACCTTGCTCAATAGTAGTAACTATGTGAGAAATCTCAGAGTCCTAGTGGACAACCATTTAAATATGAGCCAGCAGTGTGCAGCAGCTCTCAAAAAAGCCAACACAGTTCTAGGCTGCATCAACAGAGGGATAAAATCAAGATCACGTGAAGTGTTAATACCACTTTATAATGCCTTGTTAAGGCCACACTTGGGATACTACATTCAGTTTTGGTCACCACAACGTAAAAAAGATGTTGAGACTCTAGAAAGAGTGCAGAGAAGAGTAACAAAGATGATTAGGGGACTGGAGGCTAAAGCATATGAAGAATGGTTGCAGGAACTGGGTATGTCTAGTCTAACGTAAAGAAGGACTGTGATAGCAGTGCTCCAATATCTCAGGGGCTGCCACAAAGAAGAGGGGGGGGTGTCAAGCTATTCTCCAAAGCATCTGAGGGTAGGACCAGAAGCAATGGGTGGAAACTAATCAAGGAGAGAACCAACTTAGAACTAAGGAGAAATTTTCCTGACAGTTAGAACAATTAATCAGTGGAACAACTTGCCTCTGGAAGTTGTGAATACTCCAACACTGGAATTTTTTAAAAAAGATGTTGGATAGCCATTTGTCTGAAGTGGTATAGGGTTTCCTGCCTAGGCAGCGGGTTGGACTAGAAGACCTCAAGATCCCTTCCAACTCTGTTATTCTATTCTATTTGTCCTGTAGTGTAAAAAGCTCACAGATTCAAAAGATTGAGGCCATCATACATTGGGAAATTTTATAGATTACATCTCATTGCAGTTTAAGGTTTTTTTTTTTCTATGTTGGGTTTTGGTTGTTTGTATTAATGTTAGTTGTGAATACAAAAAATTAAAATATACAAATTTACAGACTCAAAAAACAAAGATTCATACAGACAAACGTTACCATAATCTCTGTGGTAAAACTAACTAAACTTTCCTTTAATACATTTGACAGTGAGTTAAATATTTCCTAAATTATATTATGTGGCAGTTATTTCTTAGTTCCTATGGTTTCTCTGTTATTTATGTTCTATCAAACATAATGTTCTGTTGTTAATATTTGTTGTTGGATTATACTTATTTATTTTTACCAATGAATTCCTTCTATTGATTGTTTAAAGTACGAGAGAGTCTAAGACTGACATTAATGATTCCTGTTTGTTATTGTATGTATTGTAATCTGTTTCATAAGTTTATTTTCCCCCTTTGATACCCCTTTTCATTTTTTTTATGTTCTAGCCAATCATAGCACTTATTCCAGGTCGAGTAAAATTCTGCCTTCTATTTTCCTTTTAATTTTAGTGTGAGTTTTTCCATTTCTGCACATTCACAAATTTTTTGAATAATAAATTGTATTGGTGGTATATTAGGCGATTTCCAAAATTGAGCCAATGAGATACGTGTCGCTGTTAGGATATGGATAATCAAATATTTTACTTTGGAGGGATAACCTTCCTTAATGATATCCAGAAGATACAATCTAGGTTCCCACTCTAATCCACCCTGGACAATTTCTTCTAACCAAGTTTTGATTCTAACACACAAAAAATTGACCACTGGGCATGTCCACCGGAGATGGAAGTAGGTACCATGGTTCCCTTTGCATTTCCAACAATGTTAGTTGTGATTAAGCAAATACAATATATGTTTTAGCATCAATAAGGGAATTAAAAATTATAATTGTCTTATTACCTTAGCTCACTTTGATAGTTGGACTCTGGAAAAGCAGAAGGACAAATTTTAGAATATAGCAAACAAGTATGGCAACTTACTAGGAAAGAAAAATCTAATGTTTTCATAATGATCTCTGTTTAAAAAGATTGATTCAGCATCTAATGAAAATGTTTGGAAACACAAGTATTCTTAATTATTCAAACAGACATAGTTGGGGGAAGGTGGTTGTGGACGTATACTTTCACTGAAATGAAGCGAATTATCATTGTGCAGGAACCGAGAACTTTCCATTCACAAATCATGCATCTAGCACCAAAGTATACATTCTGTCTATTATTGACAAAACACCTACTTTCTAATGAAATTGCAAACATGAGTTGCAATCTGATTCACCTATGCATGGAGTGCAGGGTTTGGTGGATACAGTACCCTACTATCTCTACTTCCTCCCATATTGCTGTAATCCAATCATCGCTGTAGATGCCAGGCTGTAGAACAAACTGACACTTGCACCTCAAGTCCACTCCTCATCTTTGGCTATCTGGAAGCTTACTCTTCCTTGCTGGAAAGCCATAATGATGCCTTTAGCAAAATTAAGGAGGCACAAAGCATGAAATTGTGTGAAAGGATAGATCCCTGAAAACCTCAAATTCAGCATTGCAGCAGGAGAACCTCTGTTTGAAATTAATACAATTGCCACATTGCAATATACCTAGTTCTTAAAGATCAGGGTTTTTTTTTCTTCAGGTGTTGCTGCTATCCCAGTGTAGTATACTGACCAGAACAGGAGTAGCCAGCCTCTGGGCTGTGGTCCACTACCCAGCCATGTCCTATTCAAAACTGGGTGGAGGAGAGATGGGGAAGCATGGGTGTGAAGCTCCACTCACATGAGTGGTGGGCAAGAATGTGTGCCAAACCTCCACTTGTGTGAGTGGAGGGCCCTTTGTCTGCATGTACCGGTAATGGAGCTTCACATGTGTGGTTGCCTATCTGTCCCACGTCTCAGTTTTGAATAGGCCACAGCCCAGTAATGGGTCATGGCCTGGGAGTTGGGGACTCTTGGACTAGAATCTGAACTAGGACTGAAAAGATTTGGTTTCCTTTCTATCTTCAATTATGGAATCTTGGTATATCTTAACTCAACCTATTTCACAGGGCTGTTACTTTACAGAAAAACTGAAGGAAACCATTTTATTCAGATTGCCTTGAACTGTTGGAATAATGGGGTTTATATCAAATAAACAAACAAAGAAATAACAGATCTGAAGTAACTTATTCAAATTTATTGAAGGTTTGATGTGTAAACAATTACATGCATTTAAGTATATTATTTTGGGAATGCTAATTATCTTTTTTCCCCCTTACAAGTTATCCATAGCCTGATTTTATTTTGTCGAAAAATAAAAACAGAGAAACGTTTTTTTTTTATATATAAACAAAGCAGGGGATGTTTCTGGCACAAAATTAACAGATTTAGATTTGTCTATTTAAAATTAAAGTTTAAGATGCAAAGCCAGTTCCAAGGCCCACATACCTTTTCTTCTTTTGCAGCAACATATAATAAGGAGAATAATAAGGATCAGAAGGAGTAAAAGAGCCACTGACAACACAACAGCTAAAATTATAGTTCGGATTCGCCAATCTTCATTATCACATCCTACTAAATAAAAATTAAGCAATGTTAAACAGTACAATTAATTAGCATGAACATTTTGAAATGTTCCTAATTAATTTAATAGTTCTATGAAGTGATTTTAATTTATCTCAATTTTTAATTAGAAATATTCCTTAGTGGAGATTTTTGGAAATCCCAGATTATTCACCAATTTATTTTCTCTTTCATTACTTTTATTTTTCTTTTCTTTAGTTTTCCAATTATGATTTGTAGTGGAAAAGTTAATCATTACTAATTCCTAGTTTTGGACATCTCAAGAAATGGAACTGCATAATGTAACAAAGGTTAATGTGGCTGCACATGAATGCACTTGGATTTGAGTAACCTGAAATACTTTGCCTAAAAAGCTTATTTGAAATATTTTTATGCTTTTTACAGTGGTATTTTTTAATCATGAACAATAGGTTTTGTTTGAACCTTGGGCTTTTGCTTTTTTTTAGAAAGCCTGGATTTTCATGTGAGCTAATTCATTTTTCTCTATTAAAAAAAATCTGCTGCATCTATATTGTTTTCTGGGTTTAATTACTGTACATGATTTTTAGCATTTCATTTGTTTTGCTTGGGCTTGGCAAATCACCCAGAAAAAGTGTTGATAGCAGCCATATCAATTTGATAAATAAATACTGACAGCATGTGAATTTTCTGCATTGGAGCTGACATGTCTCCATTTCAACTTAATCATTAGAAAGACTGTATATTCTCCAGCCTTCAGTTTGGCTTGTTATTGAAGAATGATGTTCCTCCATAATTGAATGATGTTCCTCCATAATCAGTTAAGTATGTCATTCTTACACTTAATGGCATTTTGTTTCCTTGCATTCTGAGCTGCAGGATCCAGAATGAATCAAAAAGTCAGTATGGCAGCTCCACAAAGCCCCTTTTTATATATGTGGCATGTATGTGGCATGTATGGAGCTTCAGTTATGTTATTAGTCATCTTGATTTTCCTCTCTCTCTCTCTCTCTCTCTCTCTCACACACACACACACACACACACACACACACACACACACACACACTTGTCATTTCTGATTTGAGATGTGACATACAAACTATTGTAAATTGAAGAATATGTATATACAAAACAATTTCTTACTCTCTGCAAAACTATTGTAAATAGTAATGATAAATGTAATGATAAATATTTATTTAATATTATACTAAATATTTAGCACACATGCCAATATGTGGGAGAAAAATAATATTCTACCTCTTCCTTATGGTTTTTGAAGAATGTGTTAGACAGAGCAAACAAACTGAAACAGCTTGATGACTCTGGAAGGGAAGGAGACAAATAACAGAAACCAGATTGCTGCCTTTTCTCCCTGATGTGAAAAAGAAATCCTATATGGGTATGCATAATTCAAATTTAAATTTAAATCAGAAACGGCTGTGAAAGCCTGACACACAGATGAACCCAATACACAAGCCTGATGATGGCAGATGAGATTCTGCCGAAACGTCGCTACAACTTTAAAAGCACAACTATAATGACGTGGGAAAATACCCGAACAAAGCTGAATATCATACATACATACTCTTACATACATAACAGTGGTGGGATTCAATTTTTTTTACTACCGGTTCTGTGGGCGTGGATTGGTGGGCATGGCAGGGGAAGGATACTGCAAAATCTCCAGTCAGGGGTGGTACTCCAAATTACTCAAAATTTCGACTACCGGTTCTCCAGAACTGGTCAGAACCTGCTGAATACCACCTCTGCATAAAAGGCATTGCTTATGTTAGAGGGTGCTACTATCAGTAGAAGAGGATGGGCTTTGAACTTTTTACAAATGTAGAATATAAAGAAACTGGGTCATACCATAGTAAGATCACTGCATGTTGTTATCAACTAGCATATTTGGGCTGTAAAGACCCCTGTAGGATTTGCGTTGCTTTCTTTATCATTTCTATAACATTTCTGAGAATTGACGACTGTTTGGCATTCTTTTGGCTAGGACACTAGTGATCATATGCCCTTAAAAGAGCCTTTGTTGCATCTATCTCCAAATATTTTGTTTCTTTATTTAAAGGGAACATGTTTCCAGCAATACATGTTACTCCAAAAGACAAATGGTTTTATTCCATGATGAAGAAACTTGGTATTTTAACCCCATAATTAAAAGACAAAATGTAAGTAAAGTTAGTCCTCAACTTACAACCACAAATGAGCCCAAAATTTCTGTTGCTGAGCAAGACAGTTGTTAAGTGAATTTGCCCCATTTTACAGCCTTTCTTGCCCCACTTGTTATATGAATCACCACAGTTGTTAAATTAATCTGGCTTCCTCATTGACTTTACTTGTCAGAAGGTCACAAAAAATGATCAAGGGGCCATTGCAACCATCCTAAATATGAACCAGTTGCCAAGCATCCAAATTTTGATCATGTGACCATAGGGATGCTGCAATGTATAAGTATGAAAAAGAGTCATTAGTCACTTTTTTCAGTGCCATTGTAACTTCAAACAGTCATTAAATGAATGGTTGAAAGTCAAGGACTAACTTTACAGGTGTCCTTGACTAAAACAATGGTATAATAAATGGTGATCACATGACTCCAGGACAGTGCAACTATCATAAATACATGCCAGTTGCCAAATGCTCGAATTTGGATCATGTGACCATGGGGACACTGCAACAGTTATGAGTGTGAAAACTGATCATAATTCGTTTTTTTCAGTGCGGTTGTAACTTCGAATGGTCACTAAACCAAGGACTATCTGTAAAGCAATCCATTGGACTGGGCTTTTTACTCTAAATAACCCAACTTTCAACTAATTGTGAAAAGCACTTAAAAACATGAGTTTTAGATAATGTTTGTTATGTTATATTATTCAAGGAACATCTGAGGAAAATTGGCCATATTATACAGAAATATGTGGTCATAGTTGCTGCCATTCAGTGACTATACAAACATTGCCAGGATTATCTGTCATTTGCTAGGATTATATGCTTCACTGTATTCTTCATGCCTGTCATCTCGTCACTTGTCTTCTGTCAGATTCCTTTCCTGTTGCCTTCAATTTTTCCAAGCAATGTGGTTTCTTTTCAGGACCCTTGCCCTTCCATTACATGTCCAAACTTTAGTTCCATTATTAGTGTTTTCATTGAACACTTTTCATTCAATAACTGTCTACTACTTTTCATGAAAACATTTCCTCATGACTGAGATAAAATGAGTTAGTTATATTTCCAGAGAGAATAGTGGAAGAATCTTTTTCATTTCTTATTCAAAAGATGCCCTTACACTGTGGTCAAAAATGAAGATGGAGGCTGCCATGGGCAAGCCCAATAAAATAGTTATCTCTTCCTTTATCCTTTTTGCATGGTGGCATTTTACTACACTGACCAAACCTCTTATTATTATATGTTGCCAAAATAGTAATAAGAGCATCTATAATAATATCTTTATTAAACTAGTTCCCTCCAAATGCTAGATAAAAATTCCTATCATCCACAGTTGTTTTTATCATAATTGGAGATGATGAGAACTATAGTCTCACAAATTTGGGAGGCAACAGAGTGAAGAAGACAACTCCAGGGTTAATTTCACAGTTTACACAGACAAATTGATGCATATCTGATGAGGCTCATAATCCATGAACCTGACAGAACTGGGTAAACCAAATGCTATACCTTTTATGGGTACATATTAAGAGTGCATTAAACATTTTAACAAACACAAACTGCACTGATAAGGTATTCACTTTCTTGGTGAAGCTTCATACATAGTCACAATCATTGTTGCAGACTGAGATTTAGAAAATGCATCCATGTCAGCTAGACAAGTCACAGGGCTATTGGCCAATGGGGTCAGAGTTAAGATGCTCTCTTCATTGTATAAGCCATTTGAAACATACATGGAATAAATCAATAAATGATTATTTTTCTATCCAGGAAATGTGTGGAGGAGGAGATCACCCAAGGGCTCACAGATTATTTCAATTGTTTGGTTGTTTTTCATTATGAAGTTAGTATTTTTGATATCTTTGAACTGTTTGGGTAAAAATTTTCTTCATTCTTCTTTACATTTTATGGCCTCAAATTTAAATTAGTATTTTCAAAAATATTGATGCATTTTAAAGCCAAATTTAAAAAAAAAACATTTTTTAAAATGGAGTTTAATTTAAATTCAGCATTGGAAAAGGTACCTATAGAAGGACTGGATTTTATTTTCTCGTGTGTTAAGATAAAGATGCATTTTCTATATTAACATAATTATAATTATTGAAGGGGGTTTTTTGTCATAAAGATGCATCCTTCCAGCCTATAGAAGTAAATAAGGACTTTTAAGGCACTTTAAAATAATTACTTATTAAATGTATTAGGTCTTATTAAGACAAGATAAAGGCATAGTTTATTTGGGGGAAATAAATGAGGCTTTCCTATTTGAAATGCCTTTTCAATCTTTATGGATGGACAACTTGAAATCCAAAATGGATTTTCAGGGTCCCTTATGAACTAGCCACATACTGTATATTCTCTCTAGTTGATTAGTGACTTATGACCATAACCAAGCCTTGCATTTATGGTTGTAAATCATAATGGTTGTAAAATGAGTCATCATGAGACCAGTCTGATTTTATGACCTTTTTTTTCAGTGGTCATGATATTAATGTGGCAAACACAGCAGTTATAAAGCAAATCCATTGTTTGGTTTGGCCTGATTTTTGCCAGAAACTGGAAGTGAATACCAATTTCTGGCATAAATCACAGCCATGTGAAATCATAACCTCAACACCAGGCCATAGAGTAGGTTTTTGTGGGGCGGGAAAGGTGCTTCATAACATAAAAGAGTTGGTAAGTGACCAGTCATAACTTAAGTTCTATCTATGTTTTTCTCCACACTGCTTCTTCATTCCCAGTAGCATAACAATCACCTCCTCATCTAGCAGCATATCAGTCCTTTGTTTTGCCCTCATATATTTTTGAACAGCAAATAATGCACAGTACATACACAGATTAAAAAGAGAATATAAGTTACAGATATGTGCTTCCATCCACAAGCCCTTCTATAGTAACAAGTCTCAGTTTTCCTAAGCTTCGTGGCCTTTTGTTCGCATAAATATAAAATTATATTATATATATTAACCTGGAAATAAGGAGAAATTAACCTGGAAATAAGGAGAAACTTTCTGACAGTGAGAACAATCAACCAATGGAACAGCTTGCCCTGGGAAGTTGTAGGAGACTTGAGACTTTCAAGAAGAGATTGGACTGCCATCTGTCAGAAATGGTGTAGGGTCTCCCGCTTGGGTGGGGGGTTGGACTAGATGACCTACAAGGTCCCTTCCAACCCTGATTATCTGTTAAATCTGTTAAATTCTGTGAATGGAATTTTATATCCATGTGAGTCAGTGCAGTTCACAGAAGTTTCTGCCATCTCCCCCTCAGTAAACTGTTGCAGTTAAAGATGGCAAAAAAATCTTCTGTTTTTACAAAAGAAAATACATAAAAAATAGGGAAAAATCAAAATTAAAACAATTAATGAACCATTTTTGCAGTAAGTCTATTTTTTTTTAAAGACCAAGCTAAACGAATCATTATGGAAAGACATACTTACTTTGTACGGAAAGAAATGCATATCTATTGTCATTATTGTTCTGGAGGCTACATTTGATTTGTCCAGAATCTGTCAGCTGAACATCATCGATCATCAGCTCTGAAGTAAACCTGCTACCACTTATGTTAGAACCTTTCTGATTATATCGCTTATCTGTTACAATAGTTTTTCCATCACTCAACACCGATAGCTTAGGATTTCCATTGAAAAGCCATATCAAAATTTTCCACCCATCTGACACTGTGCAGCTAAATCGGGCCATTGAACCTACAACAACTGTTAAATTTTGAGGACCTTCTACAATGGCATAGCCAAAGCCAGGATCTGTAAAGCAAACAAACAGGAATTAAAATACACCAACACCAATATCATTAAAAGTATCTTCTGCTTATATTGCTAGACTTGAACAAGAAGATAGGACTTTATAACAGTTATAGGAGTTATAAGTTATAATATCCAAAGTGTGTGTGAAAACTGAATATACCGGTAGTTACAGTTCTATTTGAACAAAGAAGATGAAAGAGGTATTGACTTGGTAATACAATGATAATATAGACTGAAGATAGCTGATGTACATGAAATGTGAAAGATTTTCTTGTCCATGTTAGTAATAAAAACAAGCAATTATTTCACGTTACCAATTTGCCCTATGCTTCAGGATAATAAAAATCACGCAGTATGATTAACTAAGGCTGAACATTTACAGGGCAAAGTACATATCACATGGAAATATGTCCCATCGTGACCTGTTGTCACTTTCATTAAAAAAGGCAAAGTTGCTTGGATTTGAAAATCCTGGTGTTATTTCTTTTTACTCTCTCTCTCTCACACACACACACAAACACTCACAAACTCATATGGTTTGGGAACAGTTTACTTTTAGGGAAATTATTGGCAAAAGTTTACTTCAAAGCATACCGTCTTATCTGGCAAGGTTTTCATATCATGGTTGCATTTTGATGACTGCTCCCAGGATATTCGGTTTCCTCCTTCATATTCTTAGTTTATTAAAGAGGAGATTGGATGCTCCCTATCCCTTTTCTTATTTGGTCCCATTTACAAGTGCAGTGAGCTTGACCTACCCTTAAACAAGCTACAATTATCTCTGAATACTCACCAGCCCTAACCCTAACCCTAATCCAATAATAATAATATTCCTTCCATAACAGATAAAACAGTTCTGTTTACTGTTATTTAAAGGAGTATATTCTCCTTTAAATAACAATGATATACCATTTAGACTGGTGACATGGGCACTCTCACAGTCCACCCTACCTCACTTCCTTGTCAAGTGTACAATCCTAGGATCCTGGTTGTGTCCCATCCAAATACTCTGTTGAAGGTGCTTATTAACAGTGTCCTGTAAAGGCAATATGGTAAATTAAGATTGGGGACATGGCATTCTCATAGCCTCCCATCACTTCACAGCTTGTCATCACTTCCCTGTCAAGTGTACAGTTCTGGCATCGCCTAGAGGTGTCCCATCCAAATACTCTATTTGGGAAAACTGGTTTACAGTGTTCTGTAAAGACAATGTGGTGGATTAAGACTGGGGACAAGGGCACTCTCACAGGGGTGGGATCTGACCAGTGTAGCTACCGGTTCGGTGATTTTATGTTTTGCGCACATGTATATCATCATCAGCTAGCTGCCTGGACAGCTTAGCAGCGCTGCGCACAGGTGCGCAACAGTTGAAAAGGTACTTTTTTTCCTGCTTTTTCAACTGCAGCTGTGTCGCACAAAGCAACTGCGGTTGAAAAAGCAGGAAATAAAGAGCCCGGGCGTGTGGGTGGGCCAAAAGAGCAGCAGACATAGAACCGGTTCTATGGATGCTCTCTGTTTGCTGCTCTTCAGAGCAACCGGTTCTACAGAGGTGGACAAAACCGTTAGAATCTCACCCCTGCACTCTCACTGCCCAGTCTACCTCACAGTGTTGTTGTAGGAAAAGGCAGGATATAGCCAATCTTAATAAATAAATAAATTCTACCACCACCTAACACCCACAAAAGAGGCCAGAGATATGTGGTTTTGTAGATCTTCAATTGCATAGAATTTACAGTTCCAAGCATCCCCTCCCAGTCTTGGTAGGAAAAGAAGCTTGGATCAGCAACACTCCCACCCACCATCCTCGGCTTCTGGGTAGCATTGGCCAAACAGGGGACTCCCAATTTTGAAGGAAAAATTCTCAAGCTCTAGTTTTTCCTCTGCAATTCAGTTCTGCTAGTCATCAGCATTAGATACAGTACTTCTGAATGTGGAGGCTCCATTTAGCAATGCAGAATAGATGCCGGGGGCGGGGGGGGAAACATATAGCACAAAAAGATTGGGGGAAGTGTCTCCCTGTTTTGAGCAGAATTGACTACCTAGAACTATGATGGCAAACCTGTGGCACGCAGAGCCATTTGTGTGGGCATGCAAGCCCCAGCCAAACTTACCTGCGCTGTGCACGCGCGTGCCTCCCAGCTGATTTTTGGCCTATTTGGGGCCTTTTTGCCCTCCTGGAGGCTCGAGGGAAGCCTCTGCAGCCTTGGAAGGCCAAAAAACGGGCCTTCCAGAAATACCGGAAGTGCTGAAATGAGCCTCCTGAGGCTCCCAAGGCTTCCCCCGAGCCTCTGGGAGGGCAAAAATGGCCCCAAATGGGCCAAAAATTAGCTGGGAAGCATGCACATGCGCAGTGCAGGTCAGGGGGGGGTTGTTGCGCATGCATGTGCAGGGGGGCAGGGCATATTGCATTGTGGGTACTGGCATATGCACGCTTTCGACACACCACAACAAAAAAATTCGCCGTCACTGACCTAGAATTTTTTCCAGCATTGGCCCCTCAACTGGTGGTGGTGACGGGAAACCACCACCTCTGCCCAGCACATTTTCTTCATCTCCACTCCTTTCAGTACTGGCACTGTCTTTTCTTCCCAATGAGACTGCAGAGATTCACACAACACCAAGAGCCTACACCATAGGCAACACAGCAACCTCTCCCCGACCTCTCAATTTCACATTTGCACACCCCCTTCCCAACCCTTCCCTTCCTTCCTCTGGCACATACACTGTGCCGCCAAAGTCACCTCTCCACGGCACAGAGTTAAACACAAGTAAAGCAGTTTTTCACTGCTTTCCTTCTCCCAGAGAAACTAGTTTTCTAGTTCTCTGGGAAAACAAAAGCAGAAGTAAACTGGTGGTTTACTGCTGGGTGGGGCAGTGAGTGGCAAGTGGCAGAGGCTGGTAGGGATTGTGGAAGGGCTGGGGGAGCCTTAACACCAGCTGGATTATCGGCATTAGAGCCTCTTGCAAGGTTGGGGCCATTGCCATAGAAACACTCCAGACTTCCCCCTCTCATAGAAGCACAGCCTGAGATTCCCAGGCTTTGGGCATGTGCAGGGTGCTTCCAGGCTTAAGGCACAGCTGAAATAGACGAGTTCATCTGGGAATATGCCGAGCGCTCCCAGCCTTCAGGCAAAGCATGCAGAGAAGACTGTCTCTGGATATATGCAAAGCACTCCTGGACTTTGGGCAAACTGGGAAGAAAACAGTGCATCTGGGCACTCCAGGGCTGTAGGAAAAGCAAGAACAGGAGAGTGCCTTTGGGCATATTCCCAGAGGCATTCTTCTCATCATGCTTTTGCTGAAGCCTGGAAGCGCTCTGAGTATGTCCAGAGACACTCTTCTCCTCTCCCTTTGCACATAGTCTGAGAGCATTCTGAACAAACCCACAGGCAATCTTCTGTTCCTGCTTTGCCCAAAGCCTGGGAATGCTCTGCATATACTTAGACGGATTCTATGTTGTCTAGGTATATGTATCTCCAGAGGCATTCTTCTCTTCCTGCGTTGTCGAAAGCCTGAGAGCGGTCTGCATATGCCTAGAGGCATTTTATCCTTCCTACTTTCCTGAAAATTTGGGAACGCCTTGGTTGGCCAATGCTGTCCAGAAACCTGGGATGGTGGATGGAGGTGGTTTGCTCATCCCAGCCTTTCTTCTCAAGCCTGGAATGGGATCCTGGGAACTGTAACTTCTGTACAATTGAAGGTCCACAAAACCATGTACCTTTGACTTCTTTTTTTTTAAAATAGACTTTATTGAATTTTTATTACATTAAAAACATAAGAAATAAATCACTCAATAACAGCTATTTGTAGTGCTTATCATATGACAATAATTTGTACATTATTTATAGGTATTTATTTATGCGTAATAATATTCTTATTCTATCTCTTACTTATATTTAATAATTACCTATCCTTAATCTATCTCCCATCTATCCAGCTATACCAGTGGTAGCCAACCTGGTCCCTACCGCCCACTAGTGGGTGTTTCAGCTTTCATGGTGGGCGGTAGGGGTTTTGTCCCCTACTTTATAAATCACCATTACTGTGGAACCGGTGGGCGGTTAGAGAAAATTTTACTACTAACAGAGATACAAAAGTGGGTGGTAGGTGTAAAAAGGTTGACTACCCCTGAGCTATACCTTGTTCCCACACCTTATAAAATATTGAATTTTCTTTATCTTTTAAGCTCAGCGTTAATTTATCCATTTCAGCACAGTTCCAACATTGGGCAAAGGCAATCCTGGCAGCAGTCAATATGTGTAATAATCAGTATTTTGTGCTCTTTACATATTTTTTTTGAAGATCCCCAATAGGAAGAGTTCTGGTTCTAGGTCTAGTTGTTCATTGGTGATTTCTTGTAGCCAATTTTTGATTTTAAGCCAATATTTTCGAGCCTCTGGGCAAGACCACCACATATGATAATATGTTTCCTCTTTTTTTTTACATTTCCAACGTATAGGACTCATTTTAGGGTACATTTTCGCTAATCTCGAAGGGGGTAAGTGCCACCTATAGAACATTTTATATGTGTTTTCTTTGTATGCTGCTGATTTTGTTAATTTGTGATTTCTGTTCCATACAGTCTCCCAATCTGATAACTTTATGTTGTGACCAATATTTTGACCCCATGCGATCATGCATCCTTTCACTACTTCTTATTCTAATTCTACTTCCAGGAGATATTTGTAAATTTTGGTAATACTTCTTTTATCTGGGCCTAATAAAATTTTGTCTAATTGTTGTGGTTTCAGGTATATTCCCTTGTTCTTGGAGCTCTTGTATTGTTTTTAAATTTCCGTGAATATCCAATAAGTCTTTATACTTTAACATTTTGTTCAGGTCTAAATTATTTGGGTGGGTCATCACTTCCATGGTGGATAGCCAGTTTGGGATTTTTATATAATGTTTCTTTTTAACTTTGATCCAGTTGTTTATCAACGAATCTCTAATCAGATATCTGTGGAAATATTTTTGTTTGATGGGTCCTATATCCCCAAAAAAGGCATTCCATCCTCTCTGAAGGTCATGACCTTCTATAGCTAATATTCTTTTATTCTTTAAGTTAATCCAATTCAAGCTTATTACAGTTATTCTCCTTTATCGCCTTACAGTGTCCTGTCAGCCATATTCCCAAATATTTAATTTTTCTTGGTGTCCAAGCACTCTTTCTAATTCTGTTGTTTGTAAATCTGTTAAATTTTTTGCTAAAAGTTTCATTTTCTGTCTATTAATTTTCAGTCCTGCCACAGCTCCATATCTTTCTAATTCCTTAATTAATATTTGTCCTTTTTCTATTGGATCTTCAATTATAAAAAGCCATATCATCTGCAAATGCTTGCAGTTTATATTCTTCGTTTCTAGTTTTCAATCCTTTTATTTCAGAATTTTGCCTCACTCATTCTAATAGTACTTCTAATGATAATATGAAGAACAGTACCTCTGGCTTCTTTTGTGGGTGATAGGTGGTGGTAGGATTTTAAAATTTATTTATTAAAATGGGTTCTGTCTTGCCCTTTCCTACAACAACACTGAGAGGTAAACTAGGCTGCGAGAGTGCCCACGTCCCCAGTCTTAATGCACCATATTGCCTTTAGAGAACACTGTGAACAAGCAGCCGCAGAGTACTTAGATGGGAGACCACCAGCCAATCGCAAAATTGTACACTTGACAGGGAAGTGAGGTAGATCAGGCTATGAGAGTGTTCTCAGTCTCAATCCACCATATTGCTTTCATAGGGCACTGTTAAGAAGCACCTCCAAATAGAGTATTTGGATAGGAGACTTCCAGGCAATCCCAGAATTGTAGGCTTGACAAGGAAGTCTTCTTGAGCCCTTGGCAGGGTAACATCTATTATTTGCTATTTCCTAACAGTAGGCAGGGCCTCAACCTTGAGGTCTCCCATCTGTAAAATGGGTTGATACTATACAATGTAGGACATTTCTTTTTCAAGAAAGTGAGGATTATAGTAGGATTGTCACAGGATGGGAAGAGGGACGCTGCATGGTGCTCCTGCCCCTTTCCCAGGCTTGGTGGATCATGAGAATGCCACCTGGGTATTCATCTAGATTGTAATAATTTGTATGGAATTGCTCCATGCAAATGGCATGTTACTGAGATTGAAAGGAGAATGTACTCCTTTAAACAACAGTTTTATCTGTACTGGAAGGAAGATGATTTCTGACTGCTTTAAATTTGGTTTGTTTTTATTCTCCCAATGTTCCATAAATGACTTTTAGTTAATTGGCATAAATTATATGTATTAAATCTAATGAAAGTAACTGTAAAACAGTGAACATTAACGTATATTAACACCGTGTAGCATGAGAAAAATTAAGTACACCCATGTAAAGCTTGTATCTTTTTTAACATATGTAGACATATCAATAGTTTGTTTTCATTCAAGCAACATATAAAGGTGATGTAAATAACAAAACTATAAAAAAGGACTTTTCAGACATTTGTGCAACCAAAAAACTAAGATATCCCATTTTCTGTGTGGAGAAAGTAATTCCAACCTGGCTTGAATATCTGCTATTAGCTCCTTTGGCTGCATGCCCCTCCAGTGCCGCCGCAATCTCTGTCAGTCACACGCATGTAATCCTTGCCACCTCCCCAGTGCCTCTGAGATATCTGCCAGCCACATGCCACTCCCCCCAATGCCTCCAATCCCTGCCAGCCACATGCATGCAATACCGGTCACTCTCCCCTACATCTACAAGATACCTGCCAGCCGTCTGCCATACCCCCAGTGCTTCTGCAATCCCTGTTGCCCATCACCACCAATAGCACAGCTATTTGTCCCATGGGCTGAATCACCGGGGTACAAATGTATGATGGGCTGGGTGTGGAGGGCCAGGGGGGTACTGGCAGTGGAGAATTGCTGGCAGAGAATCAGCGGATAAGGAAAGTCTGTTGGGGGTTGGCTGTGGTGGCTGGCCAGGAGTGAATTAGGCACAGACAAGTGTCAGCGCCTAATCATCTCAGACCCCACTGAGAATTCCCTTCTTCTGGCTAGATGTACCTTCTTAGGGTACAAGTTCCAAATCTTTAAAAGTTTGGAGGACATGGAAAGAAACCAAATCATTATTTGAAACCCAAGGCACAACATAAAATTAAATGTGTGTTTCTGAGTATCCGTCATGTTAGTGTTTCAATGTGTTATAGAATTACAGCCGATAACCAGGCCCAAATCATGAATGTGTTTTTGTAATTTTTCTGAGCTGCTATGTGTTTTTTATATTTTGTTCTTTTTCTATATGCACTTATCATTTTTAATATTGTCCAGAATCATATACTTGAGATAGGCAGGCCATATAAATCTAATGAATAAATATACAAAGGATCATACCTATTAGGTAGACCATCAGAATGATAATCAGCCCAGTCCATCCCTGAAGTTTGTCCATTGAGCAAGCTGTTTCCTTGAATCTGAAAAATGACAGCCATATAAAACTAAATATTATAAATTATATTTTAGTAACCACTTGAACTGATACATTTTTTTTAAAAAAAGCAATGACCCCTCCAACATTCTGAACAAGAAAGTGGTGCATGTAAACAGAAAAACAATAAGCTTTAAAATATTCACAGAATTCACAATGGTATGAGAAACAGTGTCTCCACTAAATTATTGACAGTCAAGCAGAAACAAAGTTAATCAACTAAAATTAACAAGCTTCCTCAATCCACAAATAAGTTACCCAGACCTAACCCACATATCAAAGGATAAGGTCTGCAAACATAGAGTTAATTAAGTTAGGTCTCCCGGCAGAACTTGCATGTGCACAAGAATACATATTTATACACACACACACACACACACACACACACACACACACACACACGTCAAATGTCACACTGGAATTAGCATGCAGACACTTTCACACCCCAGACAAGCTCCCCTTATACAAATCTGTTGCTGTACCCCATTTCTCTGCAGCCTGCCCCTAACGACAAACTGTTTTGCTTTTAGGAAATTTTTCTTTCTTTCCTCACAGCTGTCTGTATCATTTTTATTTATTCTTGTACAGCCCCGCCTCAAGTTGGAACCCCAAATTATTTTTCTACAAGTTGCATGCCTGGTCCTCTGCAAGATCAGTCCAAATGCCACTGAGGTTCAATTCCCTCAGTGGCCCTCACAAAAGAAAAATATAAATAGGACAGAAATTCATTCACATTCTCACATGATAAAGAACAGTCTGTTCAGGAGGATCAACCTATAATATCTTTGATATCACCGAGAAACTAGAAAATCTGGGTTTTTCCAGAGGTTATATATGTTTAGCCTAGTTGATAATTAACATTATACAAGTCATTATAAAAATGACACGTTTTATTGTTAAAAAATAGATTGTTATTCAGGATCTGAGTTTTTTAAAGTCTTAAATTCCCCAAAAATATTTTAAAAGATTGCCATAACAGGACAAGAAGCTGACAACATAATCTATTATATCTGTTTATCAAGTCTCATTAGCAATATCAGAAATATTGGTCACCTAAATGCTGTTTAGGGTTGTAATTGTAAGTAACTATTACAACCTGAAAATGGCATTCATATTATTAGTGTTTTTGACAAACTCTGACAGAGGTGATTAATGAAACACTGATTATGGAGATTGGAAAATCTTTCAAGATCTGCAAAAACTACTTAGATAACAGTTGGCAACCAATAATTGTATACAGGTAAAATACAACTTGCAGATGAGAGATGAAGTATTCTGGTCCTACTCCATGTCTGTAATCCTATACAGTATTGTTTATAGAATTGCTATTTTCTTTGTCCCATTTCCAGCATATTAGAAAAATCTAATATTGGCTAGTAAAATAATCCTAGAACAATTACTCTAAATAATTTTGTTTATTGAATTAGGGGGTGAGTCAACCCTACTGAACGCCTAAAATATTTTCTTTGAACAAACATGCATAACATTGAAGCACAGGGGTCTCCAACCACGGCAACTTTAAGACTTGAGGACTTCAACTCCCAGAATTCAGAACTCAGCATGATTGCCTGAGGAATTCTGGGAGTTGAAGTCCACAAATCTTACATTTCCCAGTTATGAGGCCCCTGTAGCACGCAGATGGCTTGCAAAAAAAAAAAAAATCAATCTATGAATCAAATGAGACTTCTTTCTTTTTGTAATTTTGATTTTGTAATTTCTATGGCTAAACATATAATTGATAAGTGAAGATTCGCCGCCTGCCAGGAAATATATTTTGAGGCCCTTAAGTATATCAATACAAAGAATTACCTTTTTTAGCTGACGATCATGGTTTAGAAAAGTTTGACTGTCTCTGTAGAAAAAAGAACATGAAATTTGAAATCTTTTCTGTACAAATAGCTGCTCCAAAAGACACACAATCAGATATTCTGAACATCTCTCAGTCCCTCTTCATAGTTTAACAGGAAACTCATAATAAAATATTTCAGCTTCTGGTTCCTGATTGTGTCCTGTATGATTGCTGCAGTTACTTTTTATCTCATTAGATAAGGCCTGGATCTACAACCAATGTGTGTCACTTGGTTTTTAATAATTAACAAGTATTGCAAAAGCATGAGGTAAAATGCAGCAATGAAAATATTTTAATGAAATCTCTTAAGCAGTTAAAGCAACAGAGACACCTGCTGTCAAAACTATGTAATATTCTTCTCCTTTTAGTAAGTAGAAAACAGAAACAAATAGTCTAGCACTTTCTCAATTGCCATAAAATGTAGAGCATTTCTTTTATAGTATTTCTACATGAAAACATGCACCTACTGTTGAATTGTTTTCTACTATAGAGAATAGAAGAATTGTTGGAAGGAACAAAAATGAAGTAATTTTAGTGAAAACTAAACTAGCTTTCATTAGTTTTGCTTTCCACAATCTGAGAACCCTTCTATGTTATGTAAGCAACAATATAATATAGGTCTAAAATTGTATTTGTGCATCCAGGATCTGAGTTTCTAAAATCCAGATTCCACCAGGTGACAAATAAATGTTTCATTTTTCAATATTCTTTTTTGCATCTGGTGGCTCTCATTGTCATCAGGAGTTTTGCAGCATGAATTTAGTGTTGTGGTTTGCCGGCAACGATGCGGACGCCACAGGTATCGGACAATGAGGATGAAAGGGAACCTGTCAAGGAGTCTGGAGAGGACTTGGACAAGGGTTTTGCATCCGATGCAGGGATGGGGCCAGGATCATTTGAGAGTGGGGTGCTGCCTTCAGAGCTTTCGGAGTCTGGAAGCAGCAAAGCAGAGGACCCAGGGGAACCTGTTCCCAGTGCCCCTGTGCGCAGACCTCCTAGAAGGCAAGAGCAGCTGAAGCAGAAGGGGCGACTCAGGAGTAAGGCTGGGAGGTGACTGCCCCTCCCATAAGGGATAAAAGTCAGACCTCAATGAGGAAAAGCTTTGCAGGAAGCAAAGCAGTTCAGTAATTTCCGAGTCCTTCATGAAGCTCTGTACTCTGGTCGGTTTTTTTCTGGGGTTTGGGGTTGGTTTATGTTAGCCTTAGTTGGACTTCTGTTTTTTGGCAGCTTTCAACGGCACTGAAAAGTGTGCTCTTACCTGGAGGAACTGAGTATAATTAGTTTTGGCTGGAAATGCAAGTAAGTCCCAGCGTCGCATTAAAATAGGTTTTACTTTTAAATTCAATTTGTTTTATTAAGATTGATGAAGCTTGGGTCAGAACATTTGGGAACTGTAATATTTTAAACATTTGCAATTAAATTATTCTGGTTCAGTTTTTGGTTTTTTTTGCTTCAGGTTCCTAGGGTTACCCTACATTAATATATTCTTCTCAAGCCCCTATAGCTTTATGCCAGTTTCACTGTTTATGTCAGCAGCAAAGCCAAAAACTGGTAGATGCGTAGTCCTTGAGTTACGACCACAACTGAGCCCAAAATTTCTTGTGCTAAGCAAGACAGTTACATGGGTTTTGCTTTCTTTTTTTTGACCTTTCTTGCCACAGTGATTAAGTGAATCGCTCAGTTGTTAAGTTGGTAACATGATTGTTAAGGGAATCTGGTTTCTCCTTTGACTTTACTTGTCTGAAAGTCATAAAATGTAATCACATGACCCCAGGACACTGCAACAGTCAAAAATATAAGTCAGTTGCCAAGCGTCTTAATTTTGATTACATGACTAAAGGAATTCTGCAACAGTCATAAGTATGAAAAATGATCATAACTCACTTTTTCAGTGCCTTCGTAATTTTGAACAATCACTAAATGAACTGCTGTAAGTCAATGAACTACTTGTTGTCTTCAGATTTAATGCAGGACAATTTAATTAAAGCAATTGAAGGTTCTTCTATATTACATAAAGGTGAGAAAAACTATCACTAAGTTATCTCCCATCAGAAAGTTTTGACAAATAAACAGAACAAGTATGGAAGTTACTATAATTGAAGTAATATTCACTTAACTGTCTATGGGTATGGCGGTTGCCAGCAACACTATAAAAATATACTTAAAATTATGAGTGAGGCTGTCATATATATGGTCCAACCTACTATGTAGTAACTTAAGTGTGGTACCACAGTTGACTTGCTAGGAAATCTGCAAATATAACTGAATGTTTAAACAAAGGATTATCATGCAACAAGTTTTCTGAATCTTGTGATTTTTTTAAAATCTGCTCTACTTTAATTTGATAGTCTGAGTATCAGATCCTTTTTTTCCTTCCAAAATTACTACCTAAGCACACATTTTATTTGCCTCTTAATAAACAGACTGTTTTTCTTCCTACAGTCAAACTAAGATCTTTAATGGGAACTAGATAACTGTAATGAAGCCCCAATATTTCAGTGATTTATACAGGATTAATAGTGCAACATGCAGCTGAAATGCATGTTTGAATTAAGTGGATAATAGTACTCTACAGTCTTCATATAATGCAACTTTAATGATATTTAAATAATTTAATTCCTGCTTTAAAAATTATTGTAATGGTACAGCAGGATAGACATTTTATATAAACTAATAATGGCATTTTGAAATTAATGCATTATTTATTTTCTAAAATAAGCGAAGCATTGTATGTGTTGCTCATGGATCTATATCTAGATCCTATTTTGGAAACATTTTATGCTATTAATTGGCTGATCTTGAAAAACTAAGAGAGATGAACCTGGTTGGCATTTGGATGAGAAACCACCCAAAGTACAAGAGTTGTATGCAAGACAGTGAAGTTAAAAAATATTCCAGAAAACAATGGCTAGGCACTTCCATGCTGTTGTCAGGAAAACAATATAAAACATAACATCACTAGGAACTAAGTTTTATTCAAGGAAGATTTTTTTAACCATGCCCTTTGTGTGTGTATCTATGTGCAGATTTGAATAAAGAATCATATTTATTTAATATACAACTTGTGAATTGAATAAACAAATAATTAAAATAAAAGGATAAGGCTGCCCATACTTGGAAGGGAAAATGTGAGTAATTTAGACAACACTTTAATTAATGATTTTATTCTTCTGGAATGAATTACACTAGTTGTTAAGAAATATTAAGTTAATAAAGTGCTGGAAACTAAAGAATTAGAAGGAAAACAACTGTTTAATATTTGGACAACATCACACAACTTAAGTGAATATCTACTTCTTGTGGAGTTTTTTTTGCATGGGGGGAAGATTTTTTTGAAAAATTAATTTGGTTTTGGCATACATTTTGGCAAAGTATTCTTTGCATATATCATACATTGTGGGTTGTCCGAAGTCCTCATTTGTAGCTACATAAAAGAGAGAGCGAAAGAAACTTGTGGAGGGATGTCATTGCTTTTTATCTCTCTTATTTCTTACATGAAGCATCATCATCATATGACTGTGTTGAAATTTGGGGATAGTAGTTGTGGAGGTAATGCATAGCAGATTAATTCAGACTTTACGGTTCTTTTTTTTTTTAAATAAAGTTTTATTGAGTTTTAACAAAACAAATAAAACATCTTATTTGAGTACAGCATAGTTCCGGGTTATCACATTCCCATACAGACCCAATTTCATATGCATATTCATCTTATGTATTCAACTTCATATCTTATTACTCTTTTTCCAACTTCTCACTATTTCTACCTTTACTTCTATTAATTTTCTTTTATGGTTATCTCATTTTCTTCTTATTCAATTGTATTTCTTTTACCTAAATTTCTATATCTTTTTATTCATTATACTTATACTTTCGTCTGTCTTGTTTACAATTTCATATGTTCTCTTCCAACATTCTTAAAAAGTAAAATTCCCCCTATGATTGCCAATCGGAGTGCAACACCTTTAAGTCTTATTGTTATTATCATATGAAATCTCATTAAACATTAAATTTGTGCATTCTAAAACATTCAAATTTCTAATATCTATTTTATATCATGTAAATCTCATCATTCAGACTCTGCTTGGTACTTCCCCTTGAAAATGTAAAAAGAAAAATTCTAAAAACATATATATATGTGTGTGTGTGTGTGTGTGTGTGTGTGTGTGTGTGTGTGTGTATCTTTGGTTGTTCGGGTTTTCTCCCGTGTAAGATTTGAAGTATCTAGGCAACGTTTCGATGAAGTCTCATTCATCATCTTCAGGCTTCTGTCTTCAGCTCTGTGCTTCTCAGAGTGATGTGAGCTTGCAGCTGCTTCTTCCTTTTAACTGCTAGTGGGGGTGTGACTTGATTGGGTGGGGGCTTGGCTGTGTTCTGATTGGGTGTGTGTGTGTTCTCATTGGTAGGGGGTTTGTCTGTGTTATGATTGGTTGGGGGATTGGCCGTGTTCTGATTGGCTGGAGGCGTGTTAATGTTTATATATAAACATTAGTAAACAAAATAGTTATTCAAATTCATTCTAGTACTGGTATGAGCCTTGTAGATCTTTCACATTTCTTTTCAATATTTATCAATCTTTGAGAACAATTGAAATGTTTCCCTCCCTTTTTCATTATTACATTAATTGTTAATAAGCATACCATTGGATAGTCATACTGTTTTATCTTATAAATTATTTACTATTAATAAGAAAAATAATTATTCAAATTTATTCTAGTAACTGGTATAAATTTCTTTATAAATCTTTCACATTTCTTTTCAATATTGTTTCAATCTTTAGAAACAATTACAATGTTTCCCTCCCTTCTTTATTATTGCATTAATTATAAATAAACATACCATTACATAACAATACAGTTTTATCTCATAGATTATTTACTTATTTCATTTCTAACTCATTAGAGTGTTCTACTGTCACAACACTATCTTTTGTACCTTTGCAGAATCCTCACTTTTAACTTAATTTAGCCATTGTCTCTGTGTTTTCTAGCTGAGCAAATACCTTTGTATGTTTCCCCTTTTTCTTTATTTCCTGCTTTTGTCCTTCATAAATTCTTTCCCTTTCTATCTCCCCCCTCTTTTTTCTCATCCCTTTTTTATACCCTTCTCTCTCTAATTTTCCCTTCTGTAGTTTTCTTTTCTGCTTC